GAACATGACTTTTGACTTGATTTAAGATCACTTTCGGGTGGTCGGAAATTCTATAATTTCCAGTAGTGTGGCTTAAAAGAGATAGTCAAGTACTCAAGTGGGATTGTGAACTATTATACAGAAGTTGAGTTTAATTTATTGTCAGATAGTATTTAGGAATTTTTCAAAAAAAAATATTAAAATATTAGCGTGATTAGTGAACTTGTTTCTCGCATGAGTACAATTTGCCTATATTAATGTTCGTTCGTTATTAACTTGTTTCTCGCATGAGTACAATATGCATATATTAATGTTCGTTCGTTATTATTATTCGGTCCGACAGAACATCTGGGAGGATGTAAATCATGGTAACTCAATTGAATATGAACCATGTAGGCTAGATCTTTATTTACTGTGTACAAGAAGCCCCTAGCTCACAGCTAGATCTTTACTTACTATGCACACACTGCCGCTAGTGAGACTCAATCCCTGGTCATTCTTCCAAACTTTCAACTCATGACCAGTTGAGCTACCCATTCAATTTGCATCATTACCACCACCACCAATTCATCATATATATCATTCAGTCCGGTCCAACAGACATGACCAAATGTCGGTGTGCACAAGAAATCTGTTCACTTTAAACATAATTCTCATACTGCCGCTGTCGAAATCTGATTCTTAATTGGATCCTTATCTCAAATACTGTCTATAAACCATTGAGATTGACCACCTGGATTGGGTACACCTATTGCCGCCACCATCAATTGAAATTCTTGTTACAATATAATATTCATCTACCCATGATTGCGTTTTAGGATATGAACACGTATGTTTATCCATAAGTTAGGTTAGGCCTGCCATACGTAATCCAAATCATTAAGGATTATGAGATTGGTAACCTTAAAATATCCAAATTGAGAGGAACAATAACATTATACAAATGCATTACAGTGACTTTTAACGCATGTATCCAGTTAATTAAGGATTAGAATGAAATTAAATTAGTTTAGAACACAATCCACTCATCATTATATATTGAGTTAAAGTGGTCGGAGTAAGAAGATTGATACTTCGCATATGATGTCATTTAGGAATAAAAATTAACAAGTTAGCCTGGAATGGAGGATTCTCTGACGTAACCTAGTACTTCTTATATTCCTAAACAAAATTATCCATAAATTGATCGAAATGTCCAAAAACGCAAAAAGTTATCTCTTTAGTCTTTACTACTTAAAACTTACACCTGAATTTGAACTCTAGAACGCAAAAAGTTATCTCTTTAGTCTTTACTACTTAGAACTTACGCCTGAATTTGAACTCTAGAACTTAGAATTAAGTAATTGAAAGTCATTCCATTTAAATCAACATTTCTTAACATCGGCTAAGAAGATTATCTGGCTTTCACTTTGGAGTCTTTTCAACTTTCTTTAAATCATATTAAGCATTGGGTAACTCTTTCCTGCCACAGTGCCACGCACTAACCTCTTGACAAGAATATATACCAATTGTAGATACTCAAGTTCAAACTTTAATTTCACTACAAAAAGCTAATTCAATAATGGGATTTAGTAAAATTTAAATACGACTCCTCACAAGTCCTGAATGAGTTGAAATACATTTGATAAAAAAAAATTAATACTTTTATATCAAAATATAAAAGTATTACATTTGTCATCTTTAAAAGTATTACTCGATCTATATATTTTACTTATAAGTAACAAACATTTTATTCATGATTTAGTATTATATTTTCTAGTATAAGTATTAAATTTGAATATTGACCCAACACTACCCGTCCCATGGATAAGGGATCGTTATGTTGTGCAACCGTGTGCACCATGCAAGGTGCACACGGAATTGGATTTATAATTTCTATACTATAGATTCATACACTGCTGGAGATTATTGAATTTCCGACAACCTGAAAGTGATTTTAAATCAAGTCGAAAGTAAAAAGTGATCTGAAATAGCAACAAAGATTTTTCCGGATACCAAAAGTGGTCAGAACAAGACTTTCGACTTGATTTAATATCACTTTCAGGTGGTCGGAAATTTCATAATTTCCAGTAGTGATAATTTTTATACTATAGATTCATAATTTCTATACTGTAGATTTATAAAACCTATACTGTAGATTCATAATTTTTAAACCGTAGATTCATAATTTAAATACAGTAGATTCATAATTTCTATACAGTAGATACATAATTTCTATAATGCAGATTCATAATATATGTACTATAGATTCATAATTTCTGTACTGTAGATTCATAATTTCTAAACTGTATAGTTATCAAATTATGAACATATAGTTCTATGATTTGTGAATACAGAGTTCAATTAGAAATATGAACATCGAAAATTATGAACATAGAGTTCTATAATTATGAATATAGAGTTCAATAATTATGAATCTATAGTATAGAAATTATGAATCTAATTCCGTGTGTACCATGCATGTTGCACACGGTTGCACAGTAAAATTTGCCATGGATAAGTATCCGTGAGACGGTCTCACACAACAAGTGTAACACATTATTTTAAGTTATCCATATTTTACTAAACAGAATTATAGTAGCTTTAAATAAGTTATAAACTTTACTTTATAACTTATTTACTTTGTAAAACATAAAATAAGTGATAACATCTCAAATAAGCTCTATATTTAGGCTATACTGCGGAGTGGAATAGTGTTTTGAAATCCTATCCCCACACTCTCAGCCGTTAGATCAGTTGGATTCAGCTGGGGTGTAAAGTTGGATCATTGTCGGGTAAAATTCCTACCGATCAAACATTCAAACGGTTAAGTATTAGACCGTAACTGTATGGTGGTTATATATATAGTACACGTGTAAGTCGGAGATCACGTGCCACCATTTATTTATCCATGCTCTCTGTTTAATTGGTCGGTAACTAACTAAACTTGACTTGTAATACTCAAACTGCTATATACTCGATTACTCGTTTACGTACTTTGCGACCACAGGGAAGTCTATGGTCAACCATTATTAACAGTCAAACCCCCTTGTGTCTTTCGTTTTTCTCATTTGACGAATCTTGACCGTACGATTAAAGAACTGATCGAGTGAATATACTATTTAGACAACGGTTCAAAAATAACCTTTAGATTTTGTATGTATAATTGATACATTCTGTACATGTAGTTGATAGTTTTTGTATATATAGCTATCATATTATGTGTCAGCAATTATCAAGTCAGATTTTGTATCTATAATTGACATATTTTGTACCTGCAGTTGATAATTTCTGTACCTGTAGCTATCATATTATGTGTCACTGTGTCAGTAATTATCAAATTATTTGTTTACATGTACAGAAACTATTAACTGTAGTTATAGAATGTGTTAACTGAAGGTACATAATTTTTGTATCATAATTCACAATGCAATATAAACCCTGATCCATGGTATAACAATTGAACTTTTGTGGTGTAGTTAAAACATGCGTTTATATCAATGAGATATTTTCATGTGACATAGGTAGGGCTGTTAACGAACCGAACATAAACGAATGGAGGTTGTTTGTGTTCGTTTGTTAAGGAATTTGGAGTGTTCGTGTTCGTTTGTTAAGGTTTTTGAAAATTATGTTCGTGTTCGTTTGTTAAGCGTTCGTTAGTGTTCATTAACGTTCGCGAACAAGTTCACGAACGTGTTCATTAACGTTAACGAACATGTTTGCGAACGTGTTTGTTAATGTTCATGAACACGTTCGCAAACGTGTTCGTTAACTTTAACAAACACGTTCACAAACATGTTCATTAACAAGCACGTTCACGAACATATTCATTTATGTTCATGAACACTTAATAAACAAACACATACACATGTTCATGATCACAATTAGTTCGTGAACAATAAATAATCTACGTTCATGAACAATAATCAAACAAACAACACAACTACAAAACTAATATAATATATTATAATATATATGTTTGTGAACATGTTCGCGAGCATCATTAAACGAACACAAACGAGCTTGTTCACGAACATTATTAAATGAACATAAACGAGCTTGTTCACGAACATTAGTAAACGAACACAAACGAGCTTGTTCACGATCTCTTAGCAAACGAGCTTACAACTGTTCAAGCTCTGTTCGTTTATTAACCGAGCTCTAAATTTTGTTTGTTAATGTTCGTTTACCTAAATAAACGAACATAAACGAACGCTTACCGAACACAAACACGAGTAGTTTGCCGAAAGCTCTGTTCACTAACACCCCTAGACATAGGTTTACAAAGCTAGTATTGAGTATGTTAGGCATAAGATTTGAAAGTGTAAATATTACATTAGAAATATTTATCCTTTTTAAAAAGAAATACTTGCTTTTAGTGTCAATTTCAAATTTAGTCACAGACTATCGTTTAGGTCATTTAACATCTCAGACTATTATTTTTTTGGACGTTTTTACTCATTCTCATGATTTTTTCTATTTTTAGTAAGAACATTTTTGTCTCTTTATTTTTTTTTTTTGGTTATTTTCCCAGTTTTAATCGGTTTAAGACTTTACTAAAAATCGGTTGAAAAATATGATTACTAAAAATTAGTTGGGGCAACTTCTCTCACAAAATTAGACAACCATGTTCCTGTTTAGGTTCGGTGTTTCTCAACACCCCCCCCCCCTCAAACTTTACACCGAGATCAATTTTGTAATTATTATACTTTAAATTGGGACAAATAGATAATTTTATTTAATCTACTTTTCATAATTATAACTTTTTTTAAACAAGTAATATGAAATCTTGGAGATGTTGAGATAAATCAAACAATAGAAAACCAACTACCTCCTCTCCAACTAGATATGCACCGTCCTACAATTCCTTCACCTATTATACCACTCCACTAAATTCCATTCTCCACTGCAGCCGCGGATACGAAGATTGACATGAAAAACGGGGCCCATCCACCTCCCGTAATCCGTAGATTTTATCAGTTTAAAGAACGAAACCTACGACTATAAAAACCAAACAATATAGTTCACAAACTTCGGGAATTCTGAGATAGCCATAAATAAATAACCTAAGTGAAGCAAAAACTATGAGGCTTTACTACACCGGGATTAGACCGATGGATTTAATGGTCTCACTCTCATCAAAACACAGAGTGGTGGTGGTCACCGCCTCATCCGGCGGTGCCGCCACCTCGGAATTTTCAACCTTAAAGAACACGAAATCTTGGACGACACTTGGGAATGCCGCCTCTTCCAAGTGTCTTGTGGCGGCGGACAGAGCCGCCAAGCTTTGCAGCAAGTGGATGGAGTATCAAGGGATACGAGACTGGGAAGGGTTGCTGGATCCCCTCGACGATTATCTCCGGAAGGAGATTTTAAGGTACGGCGACTTTGTCGAAGCGGCGTACCGGAGCTTCGACTTCGACACGGCGTCGCCGACGTATGCCACGTGCCGGTACGACGAGGATGCCGTGATGACCCGGTGCGGGCTGGGCGGGAGCGGGTACAAGGTGACAAGGAACTTGTACGGGACATGTGCGGTGAACGTGCCACGTTGGACGAATCTCGTGTCCCCGAAGTCCAGCTGGATTGGGTACGTGGCAGTGTGTGATGACGAGGACGAGATTCGGCGGTTGGGCCGCCGCGACGTGGTGATTGCCTACCGAGGCACCGCCACCCCGCCCGAGTGGCTCGAGAATTTGCGTGCCACGTTGACGTGCCTGCCCGATGACATGGCTCCTCGAAACTGCGAACCCATGGTCCAGCGTGGATTCTTGAGTTTGTACACGTCAGCATCCGACGCCCACCCAAGTTTAAAAGACTCCATCCGCGACGAAATAACCAAAATCATCGAAACCTACGGCGACGAGCCGCTGAGTATAACGATCACGGGGCACAGCCTCGGCGCCGCGCTAGCCACGATAACGGCGTACGACATTACCACTCAATTCCGTCACGCGCCGTTAGTGACGGTGGTTTCATTCGGCGGTCCGAGAGTCGGTAACAAGAACTTCCGGTCCCAACTGGAAAACAGTGGCACTAAGGTACTAAGAATCGTAAACTCCGACGACCCAATCACTAAAGTCCCAGGATTCGTGGTGGATTCTGATGACGTGTCAGATTGCGGGACCACCCAACCTAGTGGCATGCTGAGCTGGCTCCAAAAGTGTGTGGACAGCCAATGGGTGTATGCTGAGGTGGGCAAAGAGCTCCGAGTCAGCAGCAAGGACTCATCGTACAGCAAGGACGTCGCCACTTGTCACGATCTCAAGACTTATCTGCACTGTATAGATAATTGGTCGAGCTGTAAATGTCCATTGAGAGCTACAGCTAAGAGAGTGATAGAGAAAAATCATGGGAAAAGGAGGAGAGTGCTTGCATAGCCACAAATTAAATTGTTACGGATCGGAGCACGTGGTAGTGATGAACAGACATTCAAAAAACATGTTCAAATTAAATATAATGTGCAGAAATCGTTAAGAGGATGGTAGCATTTTTTTGTTTTTTTACTTCACATCTCATGCTTCCAATTTCATGACAAATTCTACATATATAGGTGTTGGTGTTATAATTACCATTGACAAGATTAGTTAATTAGTGCAAAGAGTGGTTGTTACGTTGTTGATTTCTAGATTATCAGGACATGCACTCTATTGGTGGGCCAATATTATCGGAAAATGCAAGAAGATTGCAGAAAAATTATAATGTACTCTCATACTCTCTTGTGTATTAAAAAATGTTCAATCCCTTCTACAGTGCCTTCACAGATCTGTTATACAAGTCGGAATGACCGTGGCACTCAGTCACTCATTAATACAAGGCTTCTAAATGCTATTTAATCATGGTCTGTCCCATCATTGCCACTAACTCTTCTTTAGTCGCTCTTTAATGGTTGTATCACCGGATCGGATCGCCTAGATCATTCTACTTCCAAACACGTTCTATCAACTCCTTCCTTTACTCGGTCCTCTTTTTCCGACTCCTTCCATTACTCGGCTCTAATTACCCGACTCCTTCATCTACTCGGCCCCATTTCGCTTGCTCCTTCAAGTACTCGGCCACATCTCGTTGGCTCCTTGTCGTCGTCGTAGAAGACTTGTCACCTTCTCTCTCAACCTATTGCATGACTGGTTGTCTCTCCCTTTCGGCTTTCTCTATCCGAGCGGTTCCATTATTCCCTCAAACCATCATCCGACCGCCTTCCCTGAGAGGCAAGCTGTCTTATTCACCCAGGCGGATGACTAACACGATCTGGCTGACTCCTTGGTTGATTCGTCTCCTACTTGATTGGTCTCACTACTTAGATATCCTTCCTCCATCTTTTAACCGCTCTCCGTCTTTCTTAACCGATTTGTTCTCCGATGTCTCCTGTTAGCCCATTGTCTCTACTTGTTCTCTCGTTATTTCGCTAGGCATCGTTATCATTCCTATCTTGGGCCCATTTCCCATCGGTTGCATCGGGTTGTGTTTTGCCTTAAGTTATAACTTAATAACGGTATTTAGATACAGACTTTTGGGACGTAATTATTGGATTAGGATTTGAAAATCGAACAATCCTGGCTGATCAATTTGAAAGTTTATGATTAAACGTGACAAAATCACTATAATTAAACGAATTATTTCAGCTAAGTGAGAATGTTGTATCCTACTTTCTCGAATACGACAGGAGAGGAAATTAGAAGAGTGTACGTTTCAAAATCGTTGAATATTTCATTTAGAAAACGTTTACCGAGTGAAGATAAATCTAGCATGCATGCAACGGTACTTCTTGCGACGTTAAATTGTGACCACCAGTTCAGCCTGGCAACGTAGTTTGCATGCTTTATTTCCTAGCTAGCATTTATATATATGCATGGTCCGCCACTCCGCCTCGTATTATTAGCAGCTTATAAGGTTCATGCATGTGTCGTTGTGCCAATAACTTTTAAGAACAAACCAAATTATATATACACAAAAGAAATTTCAATTCGAATTTAAATTTCACATGCGTATATTTATATACATGAATCTTGATTATTTATTAAGATTCATATAATGACTACACTTCAATACTTCGTTTATCTATTTTCCCACTTAAAATATGATGGGGAAATGAGACTTAGGGCCATTTTATTAGATAGATGTTGGTCTAACCGCGGTGTCTGATCGATTTTTATTACTAAGGAGGTATAGAGTAAAATAAACAAAAGACGTGTTATTAGAGGGTTCAAACTCATAATTTCAAGTATAACAACACAAGTTCTAAACCATTCACCAAGTTAATTACCACACATATGTGTATTGGAAGGGAAGATACTCTATTTATCATGTGGAGATCGTTGATATTCAGGTAGTGAGGAGACACGTGTACGACTAAGATTGAAGGCAAGCCGATGTCATACGTTTGTCAACAATCCGGAAGGCCCTCTACACTAGATAAGGCACCTTCATTCCCCTTAAAAATCATCCCTTGGTTCACAACCTCCCGGCCTCTTGGTCTTGTGGTCTATGACCCTAATTTTTAACCCATACATCAGGGTTCCGTTGTTAGCGATATCATTATTATTTCTAGTCCCCTATTTGGGGCTATAGCTTATATTATTTATTTATTTATTATTTAGACCGTTGTTTTGGGCCAGTTTCTCTAACTTTGTACATACTCTTTTAGGTCTATAATGTCAGAGCTAATAATACTATTATTTTTCTACTTCGTACCTTTATACTCGATTTATGGTGAATCCGGTTCAACAAAATCATAAAAATTAAACAACATGTTTGATATTAACTAAAAGTTTGAATTGATATTTAAATCAAACATTTATTATTTGTATGTATGTATATTATAGGAAACACGCTGAAATTATGGGATGAGAAAAAGCTTCTAGTAAATCATTCTAAAAATTGTTTACGAATTAATGCACAATAAATTCGAGAATTGTCAAAATTATTTGTGTCTATTCAGGGACGGAGCCAGAAATTTGGTTGAGGGGGGACAAAGCAGTACAGACGGATTCAAAAAAAAAAAAATGCCAAGATTCAAACCCTTAACCTCACAATTACTAAATACGTGCTCTACCACCTAATCTAACTTACTCTTGTTAATATTTTATAGTTTTTTTTTATATATACTAATACTAAAACCTGTATATATATATATATATATATATATATATATATATATATATATATATATATATATATATATATATACATACAAAGACTATATATGGGGTAGGGTGAGGGGGGCAGCTGCCCCCCTACCCCCCTGGCTCCGGCCCTGTGTCTATTAAGACCAGTATTATAACTCTATGTGTTTGAGTCATATTATGACTATCTATCTTAGTTTGTAAATTCAAGCACCTATACTCTTGAAACGACTCAAGATAATTTAGCAAGACACATGGAGAAGACTGATATAACATTTTGTGACGATTGTATAATCTGAGATACGACGCGAGTAACATAGACACATAATTGAAAATGAGTTTAACTCTCTTAGTCTGTACCTCTGTTTCATATAAATTTTGAAATTTTACTTTTGAAACTGCAATTTATTCGAAATCCATGGCGCCTCATCACAACAGTGACTGTAACCAACGACATGAGAGTTTTATCTCCGGACCACCGACAACTTATCCTAGTCTCCCGTACAAGGTTTTCCAAATTTAGCGTACAACGCAACTCACCACCTCAATCTAACCTAGCCAGCTTGTCATCACTAATAATAAACAAATAATTATTGGGCCAAAATCTGATCTGACTGAAAGGTTAAATCACACTCAGATCATTTCAGTGCGTGTCAATCTGTCATGCATCAATCAACCATAAACTGTATTAGTAGCATTATCTTTTCCATTTCCACCTTGTACAAAAGCTTTTTTTTTTTTTTTTTGAAAAATACAAAAGCTAATTATATGAGATAATCTCAACCAAATTGATAAAGTTGTCCATTATATAACTATAATATTACAAATTTGATTCTCAATAATGATAGTCTATTAACTTTCTTAATTTTAGCATTCAGTAATAAATAATTTAAAATTAATTTACTTTTCTAATGTATATTCTCGAAGATTTATCTTTTCATTAAAAAAAAAGAAAAAGAAAAAAAGCTAAATATATTATCACAAATTGAGATGCTGCTCTCCGTCATATCGTATCATGGGATTTGCGGCTTTTGTGAGTGGAGGCTCAAAGGCCATGCAGAAACCTTGCATGGCATTCATCCATAGATTAAAGATTGCAACCCACAAAATAATTTTTAAATAAAAATAATAATAATTAAGAAATATATATAAAGAAGGAAGGTATCATAAAAGATAATCTTTATTATTATATTTGATGGACCGGCTTTTTACTAAAGATATATACATGTAGTGCTCTATTTTCAGCAACTTTATTTTTGTGTTTGTATATACCTAAGATGATATGATTGCATGCATGCATACATATAATAATTATAACGTGAAACACACCATGGTCTAAAGGTGTATATATATATATATATATATATATATATATATATATATATGCAAAATTACAAAAAATATTAACTATGTAAAATTACTTTGTTATAGCTTTATCATGAGCTATATTACGTAACATAAATAATATATTTTTAGTATAATAAAAATATATTTTTTTTTTATAACGCTGTGTAGATCGTGGTGGTCCAGGTAATAATGATGGTATGGAATACAATTTTGAAAAAGTTAAATAAAGAATTGGTTAGTCTGCATTGTGGTGGGCTACTTCATTTCATTCAATTGAATCCTCCGACAACTTATTTATATATAAATTCTTTATATTAACCATTTAAATTTGAGACAAATGACATTCCTTTTATATATACTTTCACTTTCTCTGATGATTTGACAAATTAATTGCTCATTGCCCGGACTTTTTCTAACCTGGAAGCTTTTAAATTTTGTTTTATAAATAAAGATACTTTTAAACTTTATTTTTTTTTAAAATCAAATATTTTTTATTGCAATTACTTTGTCACTAATTTGAGGAGTTCGATCAACCGATCAACGCGTGTGTATGATAAAGTGAGAATTAAAGAGGACTTTAAATTCCTATTGTTTGGTATGCAGGAATATATATAAGTGGTTGGTATATATATGAGAGTTATATTAAAAGGGAAGAAGTAATTAAAGACTAAAATGTATAACATGACAATAACAACATAACAATATTGTGAACCCTGGCTTAGACCAAAAATAACCTTCAGACTATGCATGTGTCTATAGTTGACGCATTTTGTACATGCAGGTAACGGTTTCTGTACTTGTAAACAAATTGAAAGCACATAATATGATAATTACAAACACATAAACTGTTAACTACAAGTACAGAATATGTTAATTGCAGACACGTAACATGTTAACCAACATCTTATGTGTATACAGTTAACATATTCGGTATATGCAGTTAACCGTTTATTTATCTGTAGTTATCATATTATGTGTTTGTAAGTATCATGTTATGTGCCTGCAATTTGTTT